TCTGACACATTAAACAGAGACCAACCTGAGAGTTTCCAAAAAACCCATTGCAAATGCAGCAGAATTGAAGTGTGTTAAGAAATTGTAAGTATCCATTGGTTGTTGGATGAGGAGATCATTGATGACCTTTGTTTGGGAGGGCCAGCAGGGGTTGGAGAGTGGAGGGCTCATGCTCAGGCCATGCCTCAAATTTAAAGTAAGGCAATATACCCTGACGGGTTTATATATAGGGACTGTATCGTTGGGATTATGCTAAAAGCTTTAATTTAATAGGTGTCGCCATTTAAATTATGCTACAACTTTTGTAACTGTTTTTGTTTACTATAGACAGAGCAACAACAAACAAACAAAGAAACCACAGAAAGACAGAATAAAGTACCCAGGCCACTGACAGCCTCCTCCGTGAGGCCAGACGTTTCAGTTAGGGTTTCAGCTGGTGTGTACAAAATGAGTTTGATTTCTTAAAATAACTGTGCTTATTCTACGAATATTCCATTTCAAAAGGCAGCACCCAAGAAAACATGAACGTATATTATTAAGAGAAAGAAGCCAAACTGAAAAGGCTACACAATGGATGATTCCAACTATGTGACATTCTGGAAAAGGTGAGACAATGGAGACAGGAAGATCTGTGGCTGCCTGGGGCTGGGAGGAGAGGGAGGAACAGGCGGAGCACAGAGGCTCTGAGGGCAGTGAACCTGTTCTGATGACCTCACAGCGATGGAGACATGTCATTCTCCACCTGCTCCAACCCAGAGAATGGACCACACCATGGTGACCCCTCAGGTAAGCGGTGGCCTCCCGCAGATGATGCTGTGCTGGTGCAGGGTCACCAGCTGTCACCGATGGGCACTCTGGTTACACTCCTGCCTGCGGTCAGTAACCAGGGGCAAACAGCCTGCTGTGAGCCGCCACGCACCCTGCCTCAGGGAAACAGACAAAACCTACAAAGGCTCCTCCTGCCACATGGCCAGGTCCCTACCTCATCACAGTCCTGTGACTTCCACCAGACCATATACCCGCCCAGGTGCCAGAGCTCCTAATCCCCTCTTTAGACCCACTCCTAACTAGGAACCATGAGCCAGTGAACACTAGACATTTAAGGAAAACCTCCAATATTAAAGGAGAGCAAAACAAACAGAAGAAGGAACCCAGAGTAAACAGACAAAGGGCGGGAAAAGAAAAAGCAATACAATGAACTTATATGCATATGTATGTATAATCCATGGACACAGACGACATAGTGGTGAAGTCCTGGGGGTTGGGAGCGGGAGCGGGTGGGGAGAGGTTAATGCGAGAAAAAGGGGATATTTGTAATACTTTCAACAGATTTTTAAAAAGGAAGAAAAAAAAAGCAATACAGAAAAGAATGGAGATAGATTCTGCACTCATGAAATAAATGCTGGATACTGGAGGTTAAAAATTCAAACAATTCCTAGAATAAGCACATCTTTTTAGAAATTAAGAATAACTAGCAGAAGTTAAAAGTTCCATAGGAAATCCCAAAGTTATAAGTTGAGAACACGACAAAAAGTAGAAGAAAAAGACAAACAAAAAAAATAAGAGTGACTGAAAGAAGATAAAAAGGAAAAACAGAAGACTTATCCATGAAATAATGTAAGAAAACTTCTGAGAAATCCTGATTTGAAGCAGCCCACCTAGTCCTCAGCACAGAGACCGAAAAAAAAAAAAAAAAAAAAAAAAAGAGCCACACCAAAGCATAGGGTTGTAAAATTTCAAAGCAATCGCCACAGAGAAGAAACTGCAAAAGCTTCTAGCGAAGGGAAAAGGTCATATAAAAGAGTTGACAAGCAGGTGGCTCTAGACCTTTCGACAGCATCCCTGGAGGGCAGAGTAGCTCCCGGTAATGCAGCAGTGACATAAAATATCTGCGGGTGAATGGTTCCAGCCCAGGCTGCTTCACCCAGGCCAACGCCATACCAGTGAGAAACATGCGAACACACAGGTCTCCCAACATTTACCCTCACGTGCCCTTCTTCTCGGGAGGTTACTAGGAGATGAGCTGCAGAAGGGAATAAACCTTAGGAAACACCTTGAAATGAGGGAAGGACCACACAAGAGCATGTCACAGCATCTAGAAAACACAGGATTGGACACGGGAGAGAAGTACAGGGACTTCCTGGGCCTCGGTTCCAGGGGGCTGCAGGGCATGGCCGTGCAGCAGGCCTGGAGAGCAAGCGGGCCAGCCGACCAGGAATAGACGGAAGAGAGGCCTGGAGTGGGTGTGGAGGAAGGATGGGTGAGAGGGAGGGAAAGATAACCTGGTAAGTGTCAGTATCCTGGGAGAAGATCTGCCATCTGTCAGAGACTTTGAAAATGAAATCATGAAAGATAAATACAAAAAGTAAATTTTAAAAAAAAATTAACTCAGGGGTGGGGGGAGGGAATTCAGTAAAGGAAACAGACGATAATCCCAGCCAAAAATAACAGCTATACATACAATCATAAGAAGAAGAACACTGAGTATTAACTTAAGTAGAAGTAATTTCAGTATAGGGACAATGGAAATAATAGCTACACAATCATAATAAGAAGACCACTGAGTATTAGTTTAAGTAGAAATTGTAATTTCAGTATAGGGACAATGGGGAGCAAAACCATGATGTGGGAGGGGAATAAGAGAACTGGCCTCATCTTCAGAAAATGGAGCCCCGGCTCTCCCCGTGTTAAGAAGAATGGCAGTGACAGCATGAGGAACAGCTAAGGGCTGAAAGTGATTGTCCCCAGGACAAAACGTGGTGTTAGGTGCGAGGAGCAGGTTATACCCCAGAGGCAGGGAGAAATACAGCACTAGTCCACTATTTCAATTATGTGAATACTCTATTTTGATAAAACTTGTACTACATAAACGAATGGCAGGGTGTTTTGGCTTGTAGCCTATCCCTGTAAGAAGCTCAAATATCCTAGAAAAACAAATAAATAAACTGGTCCAGACATGGAACTTTTTGTTACTTCCTTTTACGTCTGGGGAAATACTGACGAAGTCATCACAGAGGCAGGAAGGAGATGGGGCATCTGAAGGAGCGGGTTCCCCCTGAGGAGACAGGAGGAAGGGGTCTGGAGCCTGTGTATCCAAAACAGTCCTAGACAGACCAACAGACTGCTCTTCCTCCGAGATCAGGTGTGGAGGATGGAGAAGCATCAACCGGGAAAGAAAGCTACTTGATCAAGACACATACCTGTGGTGAGAGGGCCAACACAGCGCTGGACAATGTCTTTTCTGAGGCGGCTAAGGAGAGTGTTTGAGAAGTTACCAGAAGAAAACGTTAACCTCTATCTGATCAGGTAAATTTGACCTTAGAGCAGGGAGGACACACGCTTAATTGACAGTATTTGTGCTCAGTCATTCCTCCGTGCTCCCATAAAGCTTTCTAACACCACGGCCGTGTTAATGCTAGGACTTCACAGGGTTGTGTTCCTACTAAACCAGGAATCCTAAACAACCATCTTGTCCATCTATACACAACCAACACTGACTCACAGTGGTAACTGACAGGAAATACAATTTTGTTGTACAGATACAGAAATATTTTCTTCCCAGAAGTACAAAGGCATGTCAATACACCAACACACATGTATGGCCTTAAAATGTTTTTATAGGTCAGAAGTCAGTATTCAGTAATTTTACTATACATGTTTAAAACAATACAGACTATACCCAGCCAGAGTGTCGGAGTAGTTGAGCATCCACCTATACACCAGGAGATCACGGTTTGATTCCTGGTCAGGCACATGCCTGGGTTGCGGGCCCATCTCCAGAGTGGGGCATGCAGGAAGCAGCCAATCAGTGATTCTCTCTCATCACTGATATGCCTGTCTCTTTCTCCCTCTCCCTTCCTCTCTAAAATCAATAAAAATGTTTTTTTAAATAATAATAATATATAATATCACTTCATAGGTAACTCTCACACACACACACACACAAATACTCTGATTTAAATTCAAGTTTAATCTGAAGTTGTCTCTCTAAGTACGCATGCATCCTAGACTCTGTTTTGGGCAATGCCCATACTTTGACCTCAGAAAGGCAGAAAAGGCTGCATGAACCTATGACTACCTCATAGATTCTAAATTAAAGTTCAGGAACATTCACAATGAATGAAAAATCCATAGTTGCTCATCAATACCTGCCTGGCCTAATAATTAATCTGAGAGTTTTATGTTTTAAAATATCAAATTTAATGATCCAGAATTTGAGCACAGTTCGTCTCCAGTAAGCACTTCCTATCATTTCAAATATTCTAATTTTACACTCTTTCTAAGAGGGAAATAAGTCACTATTCGCTATGAATAGCACAATAATGCTAATTTTTAGAATTCTGTTTTCCTCTTCCCTGCATTTACGCTGAAAACCACTTTCCTTGGTAACTGCCTGACACTCTTTCCACAAAACATTTCAGATCCATCTCAAATAGGTTCAGATGGGGAGAAGAGGAGTTTAAAAAAATAGAATAAATATATAAAAGCAAAAGCTTTGTTTACTAGTTAAATCTTTTGCTGAGTTTAGAGGATATTTTTTATTGCTATTCATTAAAAATGTTCTTGTCATTAACATAGCAGAAAAATAAATATGAAAAGTCTATATTAAATACCAGGTAATGTCAATAAATCTTAATCTTTAGTTTTATAATGCAGCAAAACAAAGAATTATAATTATCCAAATGATTTACGCTAATCAATAATTTAGGACAAAATGCAGATTGCTACACCTGGGTGCACCTGTTCACAAATCCCACAAGGTGTAAGTTGACCAACTAAGATTGTTCAAGTAACATCATACCACGTAGAACAACCAAACTGGCATCTTCATAACTCCATCCTTCCCAAAACAATTCCCCAAAATGCATTTTATAATACAGGAGGGTACCTGACAATGGAGCTATGTCAGTTCTGCCTTTAAGGTCACATAAGCTAAAGGGGAGTTAGTTCAACAGCTGCAAGATGACTTGAGTTTACGAGAGCAAAATCTTCTAAAATACCTGATTTTGACTTCAGGATAACCTGAATGGTGTGTCCATCATTGGTGACTTCACAGTCCCGGCAGACCACATAATTGGGCGAGAGGCGGACATCCAGCAGGGAGGGGTCATATCTGGCTTCCCTCGAATTCAGGTTTATGGGAGACTGGTATTCCCCATTAGCATCAGGAAACACTAACCCCCATTCAACACCTAAACAGAAATGAAGCATATTTATTGTATAATAGGTTACAAAAAAGTTACAGTAAAATTTAGCATGTTAAAACTAGTTGAAACACTGTTTATAATCCTGGACATCATTCAGAGGGTTATGACTACCATCTCTATACAGATGAACTATGGTAAATGTGTGTCAGTATTTGCATTTATACTTTGTATAGTCTAATAGTCTCAAATACTACATACAAAATCCTGAACTAACAAAATATTCTGTTTGTAGTTGTCCACAAAGGGGCAGTAATTTATGACTAAGAAACTCAGGTCATCTTAAAGTAATCAGGAAAAAAAAGTAATACCACAAAGTTTTCTCTGCCCCTCAGTTCAGTTATGTTTAGGACTTGGGAAATACCTATAACTCTCAACATGCTTAGTGAGAACCCAAAACAATAAATCTGATGCTCGTGAATAAACACCTCTTATCAAAAATGCAAATAAAGCATTTTGAAGTGTACATATGTACAGGTTCCCATACCTATGTATTCATTCATACATGCTCTTTCCATATTTTTATAATGAAAATTATAAACTGCGCATTTTTTTCAATAGATGGAGTCACCATCAGCACCGGGGGTCGGCTCCATTAAGAGACCTACATCTTCAGGGACACATTCAGGAATCTAAACTTCGAGAAAAGTCCACCCGCTTCTCGCCATGCCCACTGACCCAGCCTGACATTGAGGACCTGTCTGGCATGAGGGGGGCCTTGCCAGCATCCTTCAGGAAAGGAGTAGGGGCAGAAACACTTGCTTCTAAAGCAAGTAAGACACGAACAGTTTGGCTAACACTGTGTTCTGAGGGTGTGGAGCAAAAGGTAGCGCTGTTCCTCTTAGCGACTCAGAAGGGGAGGAAAGTCCCAGCAGCGGCTGCAATGCTCGCCCTCCGAGTGGAGGCAGTGCCAACACCTGCCGGGCAGTAAGGCCGGGCTTCCCAACAGGAACGCAGGTGGCAGGCCCGCCCTCTATCCCCTCCGCTCCTGGTGCCCCGAAACCGGCCAGGGGTCCGGGAACGTGACGAGGGACCCCCGTGGGAAAGCGGGGACCCGGGGTGCTGGGAGCGCCGGGGACCCGCGGTGTGCGGAGCGGCGCGCTGGGCGGGACTCGGACACACACACGCGGCGCGCAGCCCGGGACGCGCCGTCCAGGGACCCGGGGCACCGGGGCCGGCGGCGGGTTACCTTCTTCGTAGCCCCACTCCACGCCCTCCTCCTCCTCCTCTTCGTCCTCCTCCTTCTCCGGGAAGGCCACGGAATCTTCGATGAAGCTCAGGTCAGCCATGGGGAGGCCGTGGGTCCTTCGCGCTCTCGCTGGCGGTGCGGGAGTGGGAGCGCGGGGCGGTGCGCGCGGGAGGGTGCGAGGCGCGGGTGCGAGTGGGGACGCAGGGAGCGGGCAGAGCGCTCGTGGCGAGAGGCGAGGGGGGGTGCGTGTCCGTGGGGTTGCGTGTCCGCGGGCGACGGGCTGGGGCTCTCTCTCGGCGGCCAGCGGGGAGCGTCCCCAGCCTGGGAGGGCGGAGCGCGGGGCAGGGCAGCCCTTGGAGCACGAGCTGGCGAGTTATAGCCCCGGCGGGGGGCGTGTCTGCCCCGGAGGCCCCGCCCCCTTGGCTGGGTGGCCCTGACCCGGGGCGGGAGGGGGGGGGGGATGGGAGAGATTGGAGGGGGGTGCGGGTGGAACCGGAGGAAGAGGCGCTGGGTCCACTCCCCTCCTGGCTCTCGCCGCCCTTCCTGAGCCTCGCGCCGTGAGTCCCCGGGCCTGGCTGCTCTCCCTTCTTTTCTTCCTAACTCCAGGAAATAGCAAGAAGGAAGAAAGAAAGGGGTCCGGGAAGGAGAGATAGATTGCCTAGGGGGAGGAGAAAAGAGAGGAGCTGGAAGAGCCCATTCACCAAAGAGCAGCCCCCACTCTGAATCTTTGTTACTGAGAATTTACTGACTTTCTCTCCGTCCTGGCTACATAGTGGAAACGAGTATGGAAACACTTCCAAGAAATGTGTAGTTCCTAAAAAACATTTTAAGGGGGGAAAAAATGTTTTAATCTAGAGAAGTAAATGTAAGTTGGGGATATTTTTCCATTAAAAAAATATATATATATATATTTCCCAGGCAAGCGGAGTGAAAGGCAAAAAAGCGCATTTGTTGTTAGTTTCAGACCCTCGGGTGCTGCTGCGGAGGCAGCTGGCTGTGTACACAGCTCCCGGCCGAATGAAATCGTGTAAATAATGAAATGCACACATTGCATCACAAACAGGAACTTTCCTGGCCCGAAGAGGTGGTATTGCTTCCTCCCGACCCAGTACTAGTGACTTCAGCCCCCTGTTCCAACGTCTTTTTTAAAAGCTTTAGGCAGTAACCCCTGAGCAGATAACACCACTTTTTTTAGAAGGTGTCTGTGTATAATAAACTCTGATTTGGGCCTTTCGGGAAAGCTTGGTTTTATATGCTCTGTGCACTCATGAACATGTCTGTTGGCAGTTTGAATGGTGGGTTCCTAAATCATACCGTCCTAGGGATGCTTCATTCCTCATAAAGACAAAGATGCTCAGTTTGGGGATTTGGGGTTCTGTTGTCCACTACCTGCTCAGCCCTCCCCTTTTTTAAAAAGCCACTTCACAGGCAATTAGAAATTTCTCCAGAAAATGGATTGGGACTGAAAGGGGGCTGGAGGGAAGGGAGAGAGAGGGAGGGATTCAACAATCTGCCACTTTCTCGAATGTTCAGCAACATAGGTGAAAACTATTGATCAACTTTAGTAGCTGTGGGGATGACCTGTGGATTTCCTGTAATTGGAGTAATTTGGCTTTCTCCTTAACACAACACCAGAAAGTCCACCTCTCTCCTCTGCACCTTCCTGAGCCTGAGCTTGACAGAGCAGAACGCTATCCCAAAGCTGTAGCTTTTTTTTTTTTTTTTTTCCTCCCAGAGAAAAAGGGAAAGGGAGAGAGAATCCTTAATCCGCTGCCTCCCACATATCCCACTCTGGGGATCGAGCCCGCAACCCAAGCATATACCCTAGCAGGGAATCGGACCTTGACCTCCTGGTTCATAAGTCAATGTTCAAGCACTGAGCCATGCTGGCTGGACTAAGGCTATGACTATTAAAAAAAAAAAAAAAAAAAAAAAAAAAAAAAGGAAGGGAGGAAGGAAAGTAGGAAGGAAGGAAGAAAGAAAGGAAGAAGGAAGGAAAGGAAAGGAAAGGAAAGACTACCCCACATATTAACCACTTTCTTCTAAAGGAGCATTTCATTTCTTTCTCCTTTCATGAAAACCTTTTCAGAATCTTGGAAGTTTTATAAACTTTCTTTTAGAAATATGCCCATGCATTAATCGAATGCTACAGCTAGTGGACCCCATTGAGGGTTGCCTAACAAAATATTTTTGCCACTGTGAGCCCATCAGCAATGTTCAATTCTCTCTGCCCCCACATATATGTAAAGGCTACATCATAGCCATTGTGTGACCACCAGTTGTATTTAAAGCATCACATGAATGATAGACATGTTCACCAAACCTGAGGACAGGTAAGTCACCATGGTAAAAACTCCACTTCCCACGAGTAAATGGTGTGCCACATTTACATACAATACCATGTTTCCCCGAAAATAAGACATCCTCCGAAAATAAGACCTACTTACAGGTTTCCTTCTGAGTGAAATATAAGGCATTCCCCAAAAAATAAGGCCCCCCCAGGCTAATCATGAGAGATTTGGTCCACTGATTCTGAAAGAAATGGAGTCACAAGAAATTCACCAGGAAATTCAGGAATTGGATTGTTATGATGATGTTCCAGAAGATGATGACATGATTGTCATTGAATAAATGAGTAAATTCTTGATACTGTAGGATTCACAGTTTGTCTGGTTTGTGTTGACAACTACTGTACTACCGTACCGTATATAGGTAATAAATTTCCTTTATTTTCATTTAACAATAAATGTGTACCATATTCTTCTTCATGGAAAAATAAGACATCCCCTGAAAATAAGACCTAGAGCATCTTTGGGAGCAAAAATTAATATAAGACACTGTCTTATTTTCGGGGAAACAGGGTACATCATCTATATATTGCATAGATAAGCTAAAAGACTGAATTGTTAGTACTGAATTTTGCAGCTAACAGGTAATTTTGCATATAGCCAACCATGAATCACCATTCATAAATGCAGTTAACTACCAGACAAACATGTTTACCTGCATTTGTTCTTTCTGAATTTTTCAACATCATGTGTATAATGTAACTCCTCTCAAGCCTACAGTACCCTGTCCATCAACATATGAGCCATTCCACTGTGCATCCAAATATTCAATTAATAGCCTTAATTGCTTTGAGACTATATGCTTCAAAATTCTGCTAATTAACAGCACCTTAAGACCTTCTCTTCTCAGGTCCCTGTACTATATTATCACTAAAGATGGAACTTCTATTTCTAGTTATTATAAGGTATCTGCCACCATAAAATCTAAACACACAGATCAAAGATATAGGGCAATTCTTGAATTTACAAAATAGAACAAGCACACCTCAATGTAATATCAAAAAATCTAAAAATATTCATGCTCTATATTTGAACACAAGGACTCCACATATCCCTTTATATAATTTTAATGCATTACAACCTGTTACCATACTTGATTCCTTACATTATATTATTTATTTTTAGTGTTTGCATAACTAACACTAAACAACATCAGTAGCACAATTTATTTTTTAAATATATTTTTATTGATTTCAGAGAGGAAGAGAGAGGGAGAGAGAGAGACAGAAACATCAACAATGAAAGAGAGAGAATCATTGATCAGCTGCCTCCTACATGCCCCACATTGGGATTGAGTCCACAACTAAGGCATGTGCCCAAACCATTAAATTGTGACTGTGACTTGTTATTTCCTGGGTTGATGCTCACCCACTTAGCCAGACTGGCATGGCAGTAGCCCAATTTATTAAAACCAAGGTCTATATTATTAATTACTATTTGATACTAAGACAGTATAAATAGAAGCACCTAAAAGGGACAGGCTACCTAGATGTCAAAGGAACAAAGAGAGAAGATTGGGTCTAGCACCCCATCCCCACACTACCCCCTCCTGCCCATCTTTTCTCGCCGGTTGCTGTCTTACCAAGCTTTCTCACTGTGTTGGTGGAACAGGCATAAATAATTATTACCCTCTTCTTGTGGGCACCTCGTGATCTGGGAACACCTCAAGGATAGAACTAGCATGTGCACGTCAGATGACTTCTAACCAGACTGTAAATCTCTGAACTTCAACAACAATGAATTATGTTCTTTCCTATGCCCTCAAGGAATGCACAGTTCTCTTGAGGAGGGGTGGAAAGTAAATATTAATAATTACTAGCAATAATGAAGGCAATATGTTCAATAGAGATGCAAGTACCATGACATCTAAGGGTGATGCAAATCCTATGCCATGGAAACAATCCAGAATGGCTTCTTGGAAAAGATATCATTCGAGGCAAACCAAAAAGGATAGATAGGATTAGGGGGAGAAGGGTAGCACTGAATGAGTGGATAGCATTCTGGGCATGGGCAATGGTGCCGAATAATGACAATGCTGCTGAAGACAATTCTCTCCTCAGGCACCTTCTGTGACCTGTCAAACCCAATTCAAATTACTCAAAAACTGTGGCTTCAATGGGCTCATGCCTGAAGTAGGACACTTCTCTGGTTGGTTACTTTGTTAGCATGGTTTTTTTGTTTGTTTTGTTTGTTTGTTTGTTTGTTTGGTCTGTAAAACCATCAAAATTTTCCTCATTATACACATTTTGATTTTTGAAGATTTCAATCTTTTGTTTATAAGACAAAAAGCTCTGATTCTTTCTCTCTCTCTCTCTCTCTCTCTCTCTCTCTCTCTCTCTTTCTCTCTCTTGCAAGCAAGCTGATGTTTATTATAATTACACTGCACCTTACCAAGTAGAGATCTTACACGTGAATCTTTCAATGTAAAACAGTTGCCCATCAGGACATATTATACATATCAAGATAGAGATGTGAACAGAGCATTATAATATACTAACAGCAATTACATAACATTTGAAAGATTAACTGTATTATTCTCTTTTCCTTATCTCTGGACAAGTAGAGAGTAGATGTTCAAGGTCACTGTCATTCATTTTTCACAATCTGAGGGACCTTTGAATGATGTACCATTAATCAAGTGGCCATACTGTTTTAAAGGACATTCACATTCCTATTACACCCTTGAGAATGTTGACCCTTCTTAAGTGTCAGAGAAGAGGTATTCTGCAGATAAATTAGGATCAACAGGATGTATAATATACCAAGTGTTTGGATTCGTCTGTCTACCTCAGACCCCATGGGAGGTAATGGAGTGAATGAAATGCTGTTTTCCA